TTCCAACCCCTATGATTCTATGATCCAAGTAGTTAAGAAGGTCATTCATTACTTCTTCAGCTGCAATTTTTAGTGCCATCTACCAGTTTAAATTCAGCTAGCAATCCAAAACTGCAAAGACATTAATTTCCAAATAAAAACTCTTCTATAGAACCCTACTGCTCCTTCAGACTTTTTTAAATAGCAAGCTACTTCACTGCATCTAATCACACAAATTCACAATTCAATGCTGAAAGTTCACAAGTTAACATGATGTACAGGACTGGATCAAGCAGATGACGAATCAGAAATGTGTCATCAGAACTGGTTCAAGCTTCAAGTCTCCATCTCAAAATAGGCACACGGTAGCGTCGAAACAAGCACCGAGAGAAGACTAAAGAAGAATCTATTTTCAACCATCAATTAAGAAGCAGTAAACATAAAACTATCCCTCACATGCCAAAAACAAGGCTGAACAAAATGCTGGACTGTAGAAAACTTCCACAGTATGCTAGTACTCCAATAATTTTTTTTTCATGTAGTGTCAGTGACATGTGGCAAACCAACAGTTCATAACATGTTTTAGAAGCAACAACATTTAAAATCTTAGCACAAATATTTGCATATAAAATTTATTGCCTTTTTTTTCCAACACAGACTTGAAAATACAGGCAACCTTAGTTAATCTTTAGGTAGAGGTTTCCAGAAAACAGGTGAGATCACAGAATTAAAGGTTGAACCACATTCTTTCCATCATAGCACAGCAGATTAAAAGCCATGTGACTACAATAGCAAAAAAATCATGTCTGCAGATGCTCACTAAAAGTTCTGTGTTTGGCAGCTTACTTCCAAATATCTAAAGCTTTCTAGTTTTGGTGAGATCCCAGGTACAGATTAAGAGTACATTTATAGAATCCACCAGCCCTTAAGTATAGGAGAGTTTAAAAATCGAAGCCTAGTTGTCATGATTGCTTGCTCCACTTAGCGAGCAGATCTATGCAAGAATAATGCCACTTTTATTCACCAAGTTTGTACCTACCGCTACTATCCAGTAGAAATTTTTTTTAAAAAAAAGCAAGCAACCAAAATAAACAAAAAACTGAAATCTTTCTGTCCAAGTTGATTAAGTTGAAATTTGCTAATTTTCACCAGTACTTGCAAGAACAACGTATCTTGTTCAAGAGCCAAAGACTGACATCAAGGGACCTTAGCTCACCGAACTCAAATGTGTTTGCTCATATGGTCCTTGGCCCAGACAGTTACCTATGTGCCCAATGTAAAGGATGAACCTTGCTCAGTTACGTTTTTGGGATTACTCATCTCATTAAGATCTAGGCATATACTTTAAATGTGCTTAAATATCTTACTAAATTGAATGCTAACAGTTTTCAGGAAGAGCAACTGCAACAAAAATATTACATCAGAAGTGACTTTTAGCTTAATGAGATGGCACTCTTCCAGTGGAGTGACTGCGCACTGAAATATGGAAAGCTTTGATTTAAGCTTTTGACATAACCCAGTCTAAATCCCGTGTGCTGTTCCTCCTGGAGAAGTCTTTAAGCTACAGCAATACAACTAAAGCCATATACATGCACATGACAGGTGAATAATATTTTCTATTTTTAAAGTGCAGATTTTCATTTACAGTGTAAGTGATGACATTCCAAAGTAAGCATTTCCAGACAATAATAGCCTATTTCTTTCATACATATTCATTTCTATGTTGCTCCTGTGCAGTATTTTCTAAAACTAAACAGACAGGGATGAAATTATAGTAGGTAAATGGTGTACTCTTCTTGCTTAAACAGAATGCTGCCTAAAATACAAGTTATTAATTACTTTCCATCAGCAACATTATTACTTCATTTTGCCAAACACTAGAACTACTAATACTATTATCTGTTTGTAAACCAGCAACTCCAAGTGCAAATCAGATAACCACTTTTTTACATTTTACATTTTTTTACATTTTACAATCCATCTTAACATCTTTATCCTGACATGGATAAAGGCAGAAAAGAATATTTCAGAGTGGGAAAATATTTTAGCAGAAAATATAATTTGTAAAATTAAATGCATATTTTAGAATAATGAAATCCACAGTTTTAGAAAGATGCATAGCTTCTTAAAATAATGCCTCTATGGCTGTTAACTTTGAAGGAAGACCTCAGATAGTTTCTCTTTACTTTCTGCATGATATTTCCATGTTGCTTCTGATTTAGGGATAAAATTGTCTACCAAAGATCTCAACCCAAGTAATGCTTTATGGCTTCTTCAACTGCAATGATGCTTGCTTCACCAGCTTCCATTGTTTTCTTGTTGCCTGGGCTTCCTGAATGGCACAACAAATCCTCTGTAAAGCAATATATTGAAAGAAAGAAAACTAAAGCACACCATCTGCAGTTTTCTTCCATAAGATGTTACTAAAATAGCTAATTAAACACTGAAATCTACATAGACACTGACTAATTTGTTAGATACATAGCTTCTTATTCACATGCATAACATTCAACCCAGAAAAAACTTCAGTGATACTGTCAAAGTACTCTGATTTTCTGAAGTAGTAATGTTAATGATGTTATTCACACTTAACTAGATAAACCTTCCTCAGGCAGCACCTCAGTATAAGTGAAGTAATTTTAAACAGATAAGAAAATAACATTTCAAATACTATGTATACATGCTCTGGAGGCTAAGTCAAACCATTTAAAGATTTAGCATTAAACTTACATCCAGTGATCCTACAGAGCTGGGAATTACAGGCCATACCATTAATATATATACACTGTAATATAGCAGTTGGCATTTAAATCACCATTTCAGCTAAGTAATATTCACTAGCACAAATATAAAGCTGCATTCCTTCTGCTTTAGCTGAATTTTCCATATTATGGAATCAAAGGTCTTTTAAATAAATATGCTGAAGTACTGCAACATATGAGATCCATTAATTGGCAGATGTCAACTCATGACACCCTCTGTTCCTGTTGCTACACTCTATTTTAAGCAAAGGTTTAAATGCCTTAAGAAAAAAAGTCTGTTGAGGAAAACTTAGTATTGTATAAGGCAGTTTTTGGTCTTTTAAACTGGACAGAAAGGTATGAAAAGCCTGTAACTACTAGATTCAGTACAAGGTAAAGAGCCTAAGAAAAGAAGGACTATATTCAGGCCAAACAACCAAGAGGATTGCACCATCATTATCTAGAAATAAGAGAATCATTCAGGATAATTAAAAGAAGATTAAATGAGAGCAGGCACTTTAGAAAATATTTATGATGAAACATACTCTCAAATGAGTTAGTTGAAATCCACAAAAAGATAAGTTAAAATAGAACCTAGAAATATTTTTAAAATTAGAAACAAGTGACCAAAGCAGCACAACTAAATTAGTAATTTAATTCCTGAAACCAAGCTATCTAATACTTAAATTCCACGTCTCAGCTGTCTAACATGAAATATATCATACCTTCTGCATAAAATGTTTATACTCATTATTAACATACTAATCTGTCACTAGTCTGAGAAAATGTCAATGTGATACGTGGAAATGCCTAGAGGAAAACAAATAAACCAAAACATACTGGAGAAACTTGGATGGTCACTGATTTTACCTGAGTAATTCCAACATTTACCAAAAGCTGAAGTGTTTGAAATGCTTCTGAGGGCTTTTTTTACTCACAATTTCAATAAAAGAAAGACTCAATTACACATCAATGAATATTAAAAGAAGTTAAGCTGAATGGACAAATAACACACACCGGGTGTACCTGAAGGATTTCAAACATTCATGGATTTCTGATAACTCATGGAGGCTGAGGAAAAGCATTGAAGGAGTATGAACTTAAAAACCTTTTGTTTTTTTAGGGAAAATAAAAAGCACAAGGGAGTTACTGATATCTTAAACTGATCTTAAAGACATTTGTTTCGTGCACAAAGGGCACCACAGAACTGACAATTATTTGTGAAACACTTCTTTTATGTCTTCCTGTAAATTAGTATCATTTTAGAAGTGGGATCTATGTAAAGAAGAGAGAAATGTGAAGAAATAATGTAGAGTCTTCCAGTAGATAAGAAAAAAGTACCTCAAAATGAAAACATTTTTTTTTCCTTTCCAGTCCAACCCCTTCTTTTAGAAGGCTCAGCCAACTTAATACAAGCAATTTGGCCCCTATTCCGACTCTAGTTGCCAACTTGCCATTTACTAGAACAACAACTTCAAGTCTGCTTCAAAGATGTTGCAGATCTAACTCACGTCACTTTTGCTGTCAGGGAGAACTCCTCTCCTATTATCTGATACAGACCTACAGTAAGACACATGGTTTCCTAAGTAACTTTTTGTTGTTGAAATATTCTGGAATTTATATGAATTATTCATTCATCTTCTGTGAGTTTGCTGTAAGACCCAGCCATACACAGAATGAAAGCTCCCAAAATAAGTCAGCTTAATCAGAAATCTACGTAAGCCTTTCCACACAAGGTATACTTATTGCCTTAGTCCAGTGATCTTGAAACAGCAAGGGGGCAGCAGAATTCAGAGGGATGTTAAAACCTAGAAACTGTAATAAACTTAACCTAGTACTTCACATACCTGAATTAATTTCCTTTAATGAGTTTTAATATAGAAAACATAGGACTATGCAGCTTCAACCCTGATTTACTCTTGCATAGTCTCTCAAATACTGTAGACTATCTTGTCTCATTGTTTTTTTTGGTTAAACTTTTTTCAACATGAAAGCATGGTAAACAGTCTTCAGACACAGCAGCCTATTCTAGAACCACTCTCTGAACATTATAATCTTTCTTACATGCCAAGTTACAATAACTTAACAATATCATATGGAAAGAAGATGACAGAAAACAAAATATACCCTTGCTGTAGTTTCATCCTGAAGCTGAACTGTCTTTACACATTCATGATCTGTACTGTCCTTCCTTTGGAACATCCTTTGATCCTGTTGCAGATGGGAACATAAAAGTACTTCAGGTGACTCACAAAACAAGAAAGCAGAATCTGATACTTAGACGGTTTGAATATCAATTTGAGATCTGATTTCAGTGTGGCTTCTGTCCAACCCAATTCATACTTGCAAGAAATCTCAAGCAAATCCTGTCTCATATTCCGAGAATTAGCAGTTAGAACCATAAATAAGTTAGAAGCGTGTCTGGACCTCTGAGGAGTGTTAAATAAAGACGTATACATGCTTGTCTTACCAAAACAGTTATTTTTAAAATATTTCCTTCATAGGAGGGACGGCGTGTAAAGTCTTCAAATAAGTAATCCCAGTCTGTTGTTAAATGGCCTAAGATTTCCACTTCTTTCACATATATCACTCTCCTGTTTGGAAGAAAAAGGTTAATACTCAATTTCAGTGTGGGACTAGAACTTCACCAGAAAAAAATAAACAAAAGAAGAAATTTGTTTGAGAAGGCACTTCCTACATAGACTGCAAGTATCCATTCAGTCACAGTGGAACCGTATTTCCTTCATGTATATTCTGAAATAATCTCTTTGTCCTTAAGACTCATAGATAATCTATGATATTGCAAAGTATGTGCAAGCCAACAATCAAAACCTACACAACCCTCCAAATCCTAACATTTTACTAGCATTGGATACTACAGTGTCAGGCAACTCAAAACAGTTCCTGAAAGCTGGCCCGTACCAGATGAAGGCAGTCAAACAGCTATGTAGTAGCTACCCGGTGGCACAATTGCTACTACATGACCGCTTGCTGCTGTGTACAGTTGCTAAGCTGTCCACCCCTTTTATTATTTCGGCACTCCAATGTCAGCTAGCACACTAAGACAAAAACAGATAAGCCTCTCTCATACATTCAGGCAAGGTGGAAACTGGTGATATTTAGGATGTGGAGTTCATAATCCATGGGTTCCTTTTCATTATCTGATCATGTTTATAAAGTTTTGAGTCCTCAAACTAGTTATCCAAGACTGGTAACAACATGAACTCTAAAAATGGCCTGATGAGTTTAATATTAATTTTCCTATTTGTACAAAGCCTTAGAGACTCCATTTAGAGTATTCTTTAATCAACAGGTTTGTAAACATATGCATTACCGAAACATTGGTTCAAGCCCAAACATTTATCATAAGCTACTTAGGAGAATCAGCAACAAAGAGGAAAAAATAATATTCCCTCTAGTATGATGAAAGGGTCCATGACCTCAGAATAAACTGTAATCCTTAATCAGTATCTAGTATTGACATCATTACCATATTACATTATCCATAAAGGAAATAAAATTGTATTAAAAAAAAATCAAGGAAATGGATAAGCAAAGTACATATGCAGAGAACAGCAGTTAGTTTAGACTTTGCCAGATGTCTACTCCCACCTTGAAACCAAGACAAGCCCTTAAAGAGCCTTCATAACTTAATACCTATTGGTAACAATAAGGTTTGCTCTTCTGCTTCTTGGCAGTGCACAGTGGTATCGATAGCTCTCTTCTTCCAGCTTTCTGATGTGCAGTTTCTGAAACAGAAATTCCAAATAATTTTTGGGCTGTATAAAGTAAACTCGAAGCAGTGCTTCCTATTCAAAAGTTTTTAGAAGAGTTACCTCATTCAACTAGTTCATTAGAGACAGGCTCTCACAGTATTCTCACTCCTAAAGCTGAGTTGCTGAAAACTTTGACCCCTTCCCCTCAAAAGGTGCAACTGACACTGCAGTATCAGACTTTTTTCAGCCTTTACCTCCCTTCTGTGCTAATAATTCTTTAGCAATGTTCATCCTGTTACACCTCATGTGTCAGACCTGATTCAAGAGTGAAAATCCTGCAACAGCAGCTATAAAATGCGGCAACACAGGATGCAGAACCAAATAAAGTATCAAGTTACAAATACTTGATGCACACCTCAAGATCAGGCTTCTGAAGCACAGAGTGATCAGGCCTCGTGTTAGCTTTCAGGACAGAAATGGTCTACTAGATTCAAATACACTTTTTTTTTTTTTTATAGTCCTGTACATATTTAGCAGCTGCAAAGTTACTAGAATTCACATTCCAACTACAACTGCCATGTAGATGTTAAATACATTTTTGCTACTAGAGAACTTCATCTGTACACAGATTGTATCAAAGGCAGAGATCATGAATTGTCTGGGTAGCAAACACATATCAACCATGTCATATCACACAGGTCTTCTCTAAAACCAACCATCAGCAGACCACTCCAATGACAAGCCCCTAACATATGCATGCTTACCTTTCTCTTTGGGGAAGCCATGCATTGTTACATATAAAGATGTAAAATCTCAGAATGAAAAAAAAAAAAAAAAACGGAACAGGGAATATACCCATCAAGTTTAAAGCTAGTTCTTCATTTATCTGGGATTGCAATGCTAAGTATAGTTGTAACATGCAATACATATGTTCCTATACTTCAATCATCTCAGGTCCCTGAATCTGGAAATCAAAGTGCCACTGATGCTGGAATTCTGTGATATTACTCATAAACAACTAGATGTTTAGAAGCCATCAAAGTAGTAACAGTAGAGCAGTTGGATTATATTTCTTGGAAACAAGCGTTGGAAAGATGATAGCCAGGTCTTTGCCCCAGGACTCCAGCCACCAAACGTGTGTGGATTCCATTTATACTCAAGAAACTTCTAACAAATGAGGGGCTCCAGCACTGGAGTCACAAAAGCCTGGTCAGGGTCAATAACTATTACATTCTCTGACAACTGTGAGCTCTTCATATTTTAAAGTTACAATGGTCATCCACAGAGAATTTTACAGCAACTCCAATTACTAGCATCTTCCTCGATAGCAAAATAAAATGTATAGCTAAGATGAAAAGCTTTCAGCCATCACCACAGGTATCAACACAGATGCTGTAATTTAACCCATGGTACATGCATCTCAAACATCTATTGTACCCTCTACCACTAAGAATATTCAATCAGTGCAAAAAATATTTACAAAATACACATTCCTCTTGTATGCAATGTTTAATTAGTAAAAATGAGCCAAGTCAGTTACATAGGCATAATGTCAATTAGGTTTGTACTCTCTAAGCCAATGTAACTGCCTTTTTTATCCTACAATCTGTTGTAACAGAAAACATACAGCTCCCATGTAGCAACGTGAGAAAATGTAAGGAAGAATGAAGGCATGCTCTGCCTGGATGCACAAAGCATGCAGCCCAGATTAACATTTAGCAAAGGCCTGCAAGTGGGTTCCCCAAAAATGGTTTTATTTTCTCCATAGAAAAATGAAATTATTTTCAGTTCATTTTGCAGCTGTTACCAAGCAATTCCGCTTCCGCAGAACAGTAAATGTCTTTAGTTGTTTCTAACAAACTCACGAGAACGAATTAAAGAGAGAAGACTAAAAATTCAGTATGTTTGTAGTTATTCCTTCTAAGTACACATTTCTTTTTGTATTTTCATAGGTGGATGTATAAAACTGGTAAGATGACAACGGAAGCCATACTTGACTCCACATTCATCTGTCTGTGATCAGTGTTGCAGGCTAGGAACTCTATGTAGTAAAGGTAACCAAAATGCAACCATCTTTTATCAACTCACCTTACATCAGAAGGAAAGAGGCTTCAACATGTATTTTTATTTGCATTTTATTTTCATATATTTAACAGTTCAACATCTTAAAGCATCATCATGCATGACAATAGAGTCAAAAAATCCTTTAAGCTTAAAAAAGGATTAATACTCAGGAGTTTAAAACAACAGCATGTGTTTTCCTGGATTTCCTTCCTAGTAATGTGACATTTTGAAAAACATTTTAATTCTGCATTTTTCAGCAACCAAAAATATAGGATCCACATCTTCTATAAAAAAATATCTCTTCTGACCACCTTAAAAATTTCTGAAACTGTAAAACATACATGAACAGAAACAATGCTAGAAAGACTGTTTATCTCCAAGTCTCTGCAAAACATCAGAAGAAAGTTGGCAGCATATGACTAAAATAAAAATCTGGACTGACATTTTATACCTGAACCCTAACTATCTTAAAAACAAGTGAAAGTCAAGGAAATACTAAGCCCACCATCACGTAAGACCGTAATTCAAAGGCTGCAATCCATATTCTGAATCTTCTTGATGGATATGCATAAATGAGACATGCCACATATTTAAACAGATTTATTCATAAGCATGTTCCTTTATTTAAACTCAAAGCTTTGAAGAGAAAGCCTGTCTCTTGTAACTTCACAAACAATCCTGATAGTATTTTTAGATTTTACATGCAATGTTACTGAAGCAAGAGTTCTGTATTGAGGTCTGTGCCTCAGAGATGCAATATTTCTCACAATTATTCTCAAAACACCTGAATTAGCATCAGCACAATGGTGGTGGCATTATGTAAAAAGGAGATTGCATTTGATGCAACTTAATCCATGATCTGCATGCTCTTAAGATTCAGGCATCTTTATCAAAAGCTTTTATTCTTATGAGATTACTAGGTCACTTCCAAGAAGTTCTAGTCATTGTTATTTTATATGCAAATGAAAGAACCAGTGCAAATTTATACAGCAGAACAGTGACTCAACCAGAAATAGAATCTGCAGTTTCTTGAAGCCTAGCATAGTATTCTCTCTGCTACACAACACTATCTTACCACTATGTCTCAATTATTCATGAAGCGTTCTGCATTCTTTATAAAGCTCCGTGCTTTAACTGGGGAATGAAACAAAGTAATGCCATCAACACTGAATAATGGATGAACTGCACCATGTCAGATCCCAAGTGTTGAGGTTAAAAGACAGAGCAGGCAGCAATACCTGCGTATTGAAAGGTTAAGTGTAACAAAGCCAAAATGCATTCCTTACCTGTTCTAGCAAATGTCATCAACTGCAGTCACACCTCATACACTTAACTAAAACTCCTGAGAACTTACTCCTTGGCAAACAACTCTCCTAGACTTGACCATTTCGTTCTTTCCTTTCTCCAGCTATACATATTGTGCATTTGTGTGTAACGAGCCACATGCTATACTACTAGACCTCATTTCATGAGCTAGAGACATGGCTGACAAGACATCAAGTCCAACTTTCCCAGTTTTAACTTGTCTGAGTAGGTCCCTATACAGCCCATATACATTTCAGAACCAGCATTTCTGGAAAAATGCACTACATAATATAATTCATGGAAGTCAACTCATTTACTCCCTATGACTACTGTCCTCATTCTGCACACCAAACAACAACAACAACAACAACAACAACAACAACAAAAAAAAAAAAAAAAAAAAAAAAAAAAAAAAAAAAAAAAAAAAACACAAACAAAAAACACCCAAATCTCCAAGTGGAAAAAAGGTAACTTTTCTTGTAAGACCTACACAAACGCTCCTCTTAAACCAAGCTCTGATGTCTACCAATGTCTATGTTTCACATAAAAGAGAGTACTCAACTGAAGCATTTTTTGTTCAATCCCTGGATAATACTAATTGAGTCATAATTATTACTATAAGTGACATAATTGAGTCACTAATAATTGAGTCATTCATTCCTTAAAGTAATATTTACAAGGTTTCAACCTTGTAAGCTTCCATTTATATATGCAGGGATATATGTATTGAAGTCAGTTAAAATAGATGAGAGGGTGAGCAGTCTGCTTAAACTACTTGAAAGATCGGATCAAAAAATATAAACAGCACTACTACCTGTAAGTTCAGTTATTTGCAATTAAATTTCTAAATGCATACAAAACTCACTGTCTGACTACTCTTCTTGTTAAATACCCTATTTCCTGTAAAGACAGCCTTGCCTGTAATTTACATTAGGAAGCAAAACCTTCCCAACACTAACTTCTGGCATGATAATCAAAATCAGTGATTTAAAAAAACACACAAAACCCCCCAAAAAAACAATTTTTATTCAACTGACTTCTGAAAGGAAGAAACCGTACTTAGCAAACTATATGGAAGATTTTTTCTTGGGTTAGTACATGGTTCCTATCTACACCATCTAGTACAAAGAAAAATCCAAGTATTAGATATGCAGAAACTGCATAATATCCAGCTTCCATTGTTAATTGTGGTACCTGTTCCTTTTTGATAGATGGAAAAAAATATGTTGGAAAAAAGAAAAATTAGCATAATATAAGAAGAACTTTGCTCTGCTTAGTATATCACAATGACAGCTTCAATTAACTGAAATAAAAATTCACTAAGTGATTCAAGAAATTTTAAATAAGCAGACTACTGACCACTGAATTCTGAAGAGTCATTAGCAGATATGTCTGCTCAATTTTTTTTTCCCCATGTATGATAGGCAAACAATTTCCTCTAAGAGCAGCCTGTTAGGCTTAGCTTATTAATTTAGATGTCATGTTAGAAATTAAATGTATGCATCACTTAGCTTAGAAACATATATCTTTTATTTTATTATTATATGTATGTGAATTCATGTTTAAAGGTGAATGTTTATATTTAAGTATGTTGTATAGGAAAGCCCCAGCAGATTCTGTGAATGAAAACAAAGTAAACTGAGTTGACTATAAAATTTCATTGAGAAGTATTGGTACCAACTTGAAGTGATAGTTGTTCATCAGATATATAAATGACAGGCCTACAACATTACAGAAAACACAAATACAAGCCTTCTTACCATTTTTATGGAAACTCTTTCCATATTACGAAATGATAAGCATTTTCACTGAAGAAAACCCCGTTTGCTATCACTAGTTTACATTTTGCACAAGGATCAGAACGTTGCTCTCTCTCATCATCCACAGCCCTAGATCTAAGAGCATTTTAATAAAAGAACTCAGCATCCACCTCACCCTGATTTTTCCTTCTGAAGTGCCTTCTGTTGTTGTCATTCATAAGGAGCCAAGCATCCTTAAAACAACAAATATAAACGAAACAAGCCCTCCCTGTCATTCATACTGCTCACTCATCTAATATTACTGAAGATGGTTATTCAAGTTCATTTGTTTCTTTTCTTAGCCTGGACAACATGAAACACTGTATTATTCAACTGCTACAAAGAAAGGATATGAATGACAGGGAGAAGACATGATAAATGCAACCATGCCCTTAATCTAAATACTTAGAGCAGATAAAAGACTGACAGAAAGAGCGGAGAAATATGGAAAATGTTTACTCTGTTATTCCAGTTCTTGCTGCGCATGCCAGGAAAGAAAGAGAACACAAACATTAGAACAGGAAGTAATGATTAAAAGAGCATGTAAGAAGGAAATATCAAATATGCAAGTTTTGGTCTTAAAACATTAATATAGACAGTTACTTTAGCAACAAAATAAGGATTTTAAGGTAATTTTTGAGAACATGAAGGCTGAAATACTCAGTTGAATCCAAATTATCTATGACTTGAAAACAACCATTACTCATGCTCCATGTTAGCCACATTCAGCTGTTGAAGTAGGCTAAAAGTCCACACAATGCCTCTAGCTATGCCATACTTCCAGTAATTACCACAGAAGGCAATACAAAAGGCCTTATTTTGAGAATTCATGCAGTTTTTTCAACTCCTGATACCACCACAAAAAGGAATTTCAGTAGCTGCAATACAAGCCAAACAATTCAAGCTCATTCACCCTATTTAAAAGTTGCTCAGTCTGTAAATTTGTGTCAGCTTCATTATTAAGAAAGCATTAGAACTGAGTATCAATATATTTGTTTCCACATATTCAAAATTATATCACACTACTTCTTAATGCTACTATGTCCTTCCAGAGGCACAAGATAAGCAATTAAAGAACATAACAGGCAGAAGATCATTTAAGTTTTCTTGCCATGCTCAGCTTATTGCAAGCACTGGGTCTTCTCTGCTGAACAGGCTTGCCTTATGAAATAGGCTGGGGAAAATTTTTCTAGAGATAATGACAACCACAGATCCCTGGCGGCTTTTTTTTTCTAACAAATCTTTACTGAACCCTATAGGTTAAAGAATTTTAACTGTATTTACAATGCAAGTCATACCTCAAATAAATCATAACCTTCAGCTTCCACCCTGTCATATGGCCGGATGATGCCATCTTCATGAATGAAACGTGGAGGACGTAGATTAGATACCTCTTCAGTTGATTCTGCCACCCTGCCACAGACAGTGGGACGGTATTCAGGTAAGCATGCTACCATTTTGAGTTTCACCAATATATCTTTAAAAAGTCACCCTTTCACTCGCCACATACTTCAGCTACTCTTCCTCAAAGTATATGAAGCCCCTGATACTCACTGCTAACAGAATTATCAACTGGGAAGTTTTTCTCTCAAGATTTCAATGGTCTACTTTTTAGCATCACTTTAACTGATGTTTAGATATGTGCATTCAGCAGTACACCAACCAAACTCAAGAGTCAAATTTACACAAGATCTTTCAATTGCTTCCTGATCAGGGAAGTGAAAAGAGAAAACGGACTAGTTATCTATCTGACCTACAGTACTGCAAGAAATATTCTGAAGGAACAATTTCCAGACATCAGCATAAAATATATTCATTACAGGCTACTAGACATCTCTCACCCCGTATCACAGAATGGCAGGGGTTTGAAAGGACCTATGGAGATAATCTAGTCCAACGCCCCCTGCTAAAGCAGGTTTGCCTCAGGCAGAGAAACGTGTCAAGGTTGGTTTTGATTATCTCCACAGAAAGAGACTCCATGACCTCTCTGTGCAGTCACATATGTCCTACCACATCTTGTATTTCACACAAATAATTTTGTGTCACCACTGGACTACTTTACCACCTGGTATCCAGCACAGGCAAAGTACTTGAAAACTTCCTCTTGCCATTTTACCTTTGAATACCCTGGAAGGTACTGCTTGCCATATCCACAATACCACCTGTTGGGCGAGCCACCACTCCTACAAGCCCCTTTCCGATTCCTTTGAAGAATCCTGCTGCACCTTCTTTTTTAGCTCCTTTAAAAGGAAAAAAAGTTTTCATGACCTTGTTGAAGACATTAACCATAGAATTGAACCATTACTGCTGCAAGCCTCACTAGAACCATTTTGAATTGGAAACAGCCCACAGTAGTTGATTATGTACAATCCACTCAAAAGTTCCACCAAGAAGTTCTCTGTGTAAAGTTACACGTTGCTTCCTTGTCTGTTTAGATATACCGCTGTTGGTTCACCACTCTCCCAGCCACCAAAGCCATATATATATACACACATATATATATATATACACACACTTGTGTATATTAGAGTCTCAGATTATTTTGTTATTCCTACTTCAAAATTTCACGTTTCTGTTAATATGTAACTATGGAAGAGCCAAGACACTATTTAGGAAGCATATGTTTATCCCGCAATGAGAGAAGGATTATATCTCATTATCTGTCAATAGCCTGTAATACACACCACAGTAATAATTAACTTCAAACATTTAAAACACTTTGACATGAATATTAATAAGAGGCCTTTTTTCCTACGATTTTTTTTTCCCCCATCTATCATGCTGATGAAATGACAGTCTTCATAAAAACAAATAAAGATAGCAGGAATAAAACAAAATCTGCTTTTTATGTTTTCTCCAGTCTGTGGAGTCCCAAAAAACCTTTTCAGTTGGTGGTTTTTCATTTATTATTTTTAGTTTCTCCATTTGGGAATATAATACTCAGTTGGGTACTATAACAGGCCTAACAAAAAATATCCCAAAACCAACCCTTTCTTAATTGATACAATGGCTAAAATAGCGGTAAGCCAGTAACAGCTACAAACACATTTGATTAAATCATCATATAATTCCAAACACAAATTAGAAACAAAAATGGTCTTGCTACATCTTAGCATCACCACACTGAAATCGATGTTTCTTAAAAGTACAAAATTACTCATCAGGTATGGGGAAACCATTTAAGCTGTGCAACCTTAGTGCTTACCTTCTACAGGTTTAGTGATTATGCCTGTCACACCTCCAACAACACCCTAAAACAAAGAAGGTAATTAAATTCCTGTTTAGAAACAGGAATGATATAATCCAACTGGGAAATCAGTTGTCTATCATACTTCATTTTTTAACTTTATAATTAAGTTCAATATTGGGAATACTGTTTGGGTTTTTTGTTGTTGTTTTTTTTTAATTTTTTTAAGAAAATTATAACAGAAGTATGAGAAGGACAAAACCTGAAATCACTGAAGAAACATTATGCTGGCAAGAAAGAATGACAAATATTTTGTACAGTACAGTAATCAGCCTTCTAATAATTAAGATGGTCGCTATTTCACTTTCACTACTACCAGGTAGTTGCCAGAATTCTCAGTCATGAATTAGTGATTTCAAATATTCAAGACAAATTAATATCAAATAACTCTTAAAGGTGAAGTAGTTTAATGACAGTAAGGCAGAAGAATAAAAACCCACTGAGGTAACTTAGAAATCTTCAGCAAAAAGTATCAGAAACAACTCCACAAAGTTTATTACTTATAATTACTTAGAAATGTTGACTGTTTTTATTTTGAATGGAAAGTGGTAGAATTTATTTGAAGATTTGATTTGCATTCAGATTATACAGACCTCTTGGTAATTGCTTACATGAGGTTTGTCCCACTGTTAGCACCAACTAAAAACAGACATGACCTTTCAGTAACCAAAAGGCTTCTGATTTTAGGTTAGAAAAAAAGTATGGGGGTTGCACAGCTTCTGTTTCAGAAAAATCTCTCCAACCTCTTGTAGCACTTACTTTCATACACATTCTACTTCCTTCGTGTTCATACTCTAAGTCAAGAAAACCTAGCAGTTTTTGTAAGACCTCAGTATATGGAAAGCCACTTCTATGCATTCTAGGCAGCATAGGCCCAGAGCTCCTAATTCACAGCCAACTGACTTGAATGACAGAATTGACTGCAACATAAAATAAGGACTCAGTCACTGTAGTTGAACATTAGTAACTACGATTGTTTACGTAATTCACATGAGCAACTGGTGTTAGATCCTACACTTGCCCTTTCTGAGACTACCTTCAACTCCTCAGGTGGGCCAAAATCACATCCTCAAACACTATAGCTGCCACACTATACTAAGTCTCCTAGAAACCAACCACCTGTTTGTCTCCTTTGCTGAGTTTATGGAATGATGAATATGTCATCAACTTGCTTGCATATAATTTTCAAGCATGGATTAAGAGTTGGCACATCATAACTCTTGCCTTCAAATTCATACCCGTAACAAGCCTTTTCCTCCTTTGGCCAGGCTGTCACTTAAGTCCTTTGGCTGCCGACCCATTTCCTCTCTCCGTTTCTGCTGAAATTCTTTATCCATAGTAATAGCAGCCAAGCCTTTTCCAACAGAGCCTGTGATCCTAGACACCACCCCTGCTGCACCACCTGAGGGAACAGAGTGGAAAGCAAAAGTTACTCTCCTTTCACAATTTAATGGCAGACAACACACAAGAAGCCACAAAGTTCATAGCGCTTTCCCTTCATACTCTGTTTAGACACTATGAATTTACAGAGTACCACATTTTGTTCATGAGAAAACTATGGAATCTGGCATAACACATTCTGTATCACAATTACTGACAATAGTATATGGAAAACTTACTTGTCAAAAAATTTCCATGTAGATATTTTTAAGATAGAGCTTCCCCCTCACAATGGTAAGAAAAAAATCTAATTGCAATCTCTGAGTTAAACAAATTTATTAAAACAGTCACAATACAATACATACCCACTGTGTGCCCAAGAAGACTTCTAACACCAATTACAAAGCCTTCAGCAAATTCTTCAGGGCCTTGAACAGCACCCTAAAAAGGAAGCTTATAATGAATAGTACGAAACTACACATGTATCTATCTGTTTCAAGAAAAACTAATAAATGCTATACACCCATGAAAGTAAAGCCATTTTAGTATGTTATTTCTTTGAAGTTAACAAAAAAAAAAAATTGCTGCTTTCTTAACTCTTCAGGGTGTAGAGTACACTGACAACAAAACCACAATCCTACCAGTATATTCCATCAGCCTACTATTCATACGCAGTTGAAGAATCAAGAAGTCATACCTGGAATGGCTCATAGAAAAATGCTTCAACTCCTTCAGACAAGCCTCTGATCAAGCCAAATGGATTTCCAAGAACATCTAACCCAAGTACAAGAACATACATCTGTTTCAGGAGCTAAACAATGACGGGGAAAAAGAAAAATGCAATATCAAAAGTAGTGTTACTAGCTGTTGTTACACAGCTCCACGAGAACCCAAGGCTAATAAATAATGTCTAAATTTACTTCAAGTAAGGTGTTAAGAGTATTCCTACTAGAATGGAGAATGCTTAAGCAAAAGACACACTACATGTATGGACAACTATTAGAATACTTCGATGAAGAAAAAAATATAAGGACAGAAGCCACCACTTAAAATTCTGAAGGCACATTTGCAAGACACTTATTTTCATTTTTATAGTGTGCCATCACATTTCTACTTCAGTACAATTAAATAAGTAGGTTTTAGAGGTATTCACCTTCCTTATTTTCTGCATTCTGTAAAATACTGAAAATTTTACACAAAGGGTTGACTAAATAAGCTTACTTGTTCACTATAATGTCTAACAACTCTCTTCATTAGTTGGTCTCTTTTGTAGAACTGATATTTTATTTCAAAGAAGGCAAGTCTGAAAAACAAGTAATAGTTTTGTATTTAAACAAATACACTTTGTATTAAAGTATAAGACACATTATGGATACCCTTCATCCTCCTAAATAGTTCTCTCTTTCTTCAAATCCTGAAGGCCTGATATTTTAGAAAGAAGTTCAAGCCCCATCTTCCCGCTATTGCTCCCCTCAAAGACTGTACGCATTTATACTAGAGTCAGTTACCAGAGTTTACCATGGACCCATATATTATGCATATTGCAGCTTTATTCATAGAATGGTTTGGGTTAGAAGGAACATTGAGTTTCAACTCCCAAGACACTGATGAAAAAATAAACTTTACTGCCTTACTTGAAAATGAGATCATCTACATCTGTTAGAGTAGCTCCAATACTTTTCAACAGCAAATTCAGAGAATGGATAGCTATCATTTCTTCCCCTTTATCTGATGCTTCTCCACCAGCAGCCAGAGAAAGACTCAAGTGCAACTGTCAAGACAGAATTAGTAAACATACAAGAGACACACACCAGATAGGGTGTGCAGTGCACATGTAAACAAACCAGTGGCCTAACAGTGGTAAGTGAATTTTCACTCACTTTGAAGAAATGTACCATTTCAATTAATGTGCTTGAACTCACAATGGTATTACTCTGATAACAAATGTAATTATTCATAATTTCATATGGACAAGTGTCAAATACCCCTAGAAGTTTACCTTCTGTTATGTTTACATCTGTAAAGTTCTGTGAAAACCACAAGAGAAATTACATTAAATAGGTGGGCCTTAGATCACAGTACAAGGTAAATTTTAAATTCCAATTTACTTAACTAGTCTACTTGTATTTTTGCAACTAGTTACTCTAATATGAGATTGTTTAATATTGCTAAGACAATTCTTTTAACAAATTCACACACTCTTCTTCATGTGGGAGAGGGCAACAGAGTTATTTTCCTTTTCCCTTGTTCATCACCAAAACCAATACTGCTCCCTTCTACTTGATTATAAGAACGCATATCAGTTAACCTGTATGGTTTGATTTTTTCAAGATTCCCATTTCTCATTATTTTCTAAAGGCCACAGAGCCGTTTTCATGGTCTCCCACTACCCTGTGGTTTGGAATATTAAGGCGAGTCACTGAAGGTGGAACAAAAACACATAGGAAAGAAAAAGAAGCCCCTTCTTGTACTATAGATTTACTGCATCTAGACATTACATATAAGAGTTGCAAAACATACTTAAAATGATACCCTTTTCTTCAACAACTTTACCTAGACTAGCAAGAGAATTGTGTTAGAAATAACACAGTTGTGTCTTGTTCCTTTACTATTCTCCATGGCTTCGTATTACAAGTTCATAAGCACAATCATACCAGGAAAGAAACAACAAGAACTGAAGTGTACTTTACAATATCTAATGAAATAAGTAAAAAGTTGAAAAAAGTGAAAGAAAATAATCATCTATATGGGGGTTTATGTCTTTTATACGTTAGGCAAAAAGAAAAGCAAGCAAGTTTTTTTTTTTTTCCTCTGAATTTTTTCAACCTGACAGCCTTAGGAAAGCATTCTGTTGATTCAGAACAAGCTATATTACTGATGCTCTTTCTTCCCTTGCTCCAAAATGTAACTAGTTTAAGAGACGTGAAGACAAGGTCATGAAAGTGCTTTGTATTACAGTTTGTTTCACACACATATGTTACTTGGATGCCTTCAGGCCACCATTCTATCTAGCTCTCATTATTACACCCATTAGCAACTGCTAAGTGTCTGTTTGCACTTATGGGTAACTAAGAATGCTTTCCAATGAAGCACTGAGTTCTAGAGAAAATAAATCCTCAAGTTGATTTAGACCACAAGAGGACCACAGTCACTAGTAGGTTGATCTGAGGATGTATTTACTATAAGGAATTAGGAGACAGAAACACAGAATCGTTTCGGTTGGGCAAGACCTTAAGATCGAGTCCAATCGTTAACCCAGCCCACTGATATCAAGTGTTTTGTTAATCAGAAATATCTCTACTACATACCTTAATTGGAGAAATATGAAAATGCTCAAAGAAGCTGAGCATTGATAGGTCTGTTAAGGAAGATTCCATTAGCTCAGTGTTAAGTGCGTCCACATCTTGCTTAATTAATTTAGACTAGTTTTATTTTAGAAAAGAAAAAATAAAACAGAAGTTTATTTCATCAACATAATATAATTATGTTATATATTAATATAACAAATTAATATAATTAATAATATATGTATTTCTACATGTATCGATATACTATAACAGCAGAACTAATAATCATCAAACAGTCAACTAAGTAGTTAAATGGCCAAACCCTCCAAAACTAGAAATATACTAACCACTTTTGTGTACCAGTTAACTTTACTAGTACATTTCTTTAAACTAGGGTAAAAAGCAAAACTAAAGCAATCCACCACCAAAGCCCCCAAGAACTCCACCCAACAGAATTTCTGAGCGTCTTTTCCTTTCATGCTACAATATTGTATATTCCCTTAAATTCCTCAGCCGCTTAAGGTATCAATTCTATACTACTTTGATCAAGTATGGGTTTGGTGATCAG